GATACATCATTCAAAATCTATGCCCTCTAAATTTTGTTTAAAATAAATATACGCTGTGGCTCCCGTCCCGAGGCGGGACTTAAGTTCAGTCCCGATTGACGTCATAATTTTAAGATTTTTTATGTTACAATAAAACTAAAAGAAACCAACCAACCCAACCCTACCCAACACTTTTTAACAAAGAAACAACAAATTTATAAAATAAAAAAGTTTGACAACTTCTAGTAGAATCGAACCCGGTACCTCTCGCATGCCAAGCGACCGCCCTACCATCTGAGCTTGACACCAATTTTAAAAGCTCGGGGAATAAAAACGGATTTACAGTGTGTGACGGGATCGAAGTCCAGCCTCGGAACGGGAGCCACATCGATAAATATATGACTTATATACAAAATTTAATCTAATTATTAAGAAGTTTCTAGGCAAATAATAAATATTTACGGTTATAAAGTGGATTTAATATTGTAAAATATATTACTCGTAAGTAATTTTCTTGTAAAAATTACGATAAATATACATCATTAAAATATTTCAGAGTTGTGAAACTTTATGATTATTAAATAAAGTAACAAATTCATAATAAAAACTTTTTTTAAGGTTAACTTAACAACATGTTTACTTCAATAGTTAATTAAAAGAGCTCAAATTTTCATGAAATTTATCAATTTAAAAGCGTTTAAGCCTCTGATGACAGCTCTGAGCTATTTAACCTCACTTTATACTTTTAATAATTGTAAGTAGGTTTTAATAAAACCGTTTTATGTATCGTTTAACTCACTTCTCAGCCTAATGACATAAATAACTATTATAGTTATATAGTTTTCAATATTTTTATAATTTCCCATATTTTTCCTACTTTGTTTTAATGTTTTAATGATTTAAAATTGTAATTATGTACTTTTATTAAAATAAATTCCCATGAACCTTTTAGTTAAGTCAAAAGTCTTATTTTAAAAAACCAATAAAACAAGATACTTTTAATTAAAAAGTGGCATATATATAAAGTTAATCATATTGATATCAAATTTCTTGATTTAAAAAGGGGAATTAAATATCAAAGAACCAACGACCTTGTCAATAGAATTTGTCTTGCCATTAAAATGGATGGAAAGTGTTTTTTTATTCTGAATTTTATGCATGCATTTTTCTGTAATTTGGATCGATTGCAACGTTACCATGAAACCAAAGATTTTTAAAATGCTATTTTATTAATCAAAGAGTGTGCATTACAATTTTTAAAATATTTCAATAGCATATTAAGTCTTATGTGTATGAAATTGCAATCTTACAACATTAAAAACCACGATTACAAAGTCAAAACCAGTCCAAATGAAATAGGGTTCTATTTGTTATTATAATTTAGATTAAAAAGGGTCCTTCAACTAAACAATAGAAGTTGCTTTGAACATTATAAAAGTGTACTTGGAACCTTGTTGAATTGATTTCGTGCATTAGTCATTTGGGTGCAACGAGTTTTGCCAGTTCTTTCTCTAGCTTAGACCGGTTGGTATTTCGGTTTTGTTTCCTTAGATCAATTGAATAATCTATTGGGTCACTTGTAATAACTATGATTTATGTATTAATATTTTATCTCCACACAAACCTTTTAAACAAGGATAACCGTAGTAGAATAGAATTTGCATTTGCGAATGGTTTTGATGGATTACTACAAATGTTTGTGGTATTGTGTGTTAGTAAGCTGAAGTGATTTTAAATGCATGTGACAAAATTAAATTGTACACACTCAGACAGCTTTCTCTTGTTGTTTCATGCAAGAAATGGTACATTTTTAAAGTAAACCAGTGTACAATTTTGCCATACAAGGACACAAAAATTGCAGAATAAGTTTATGTAAATAAAGGATTTTATTAAAAAAAATTATGATCTTACTTTAACAACAGCTTTTATATCCACACGTTCACAGTTCAGTAACAATTTTGGCCATCAAAATAAATTTTTAAAAAGTTTTTAATTTTGGACATTTTTGGCATTATTGAATTGAAATGAATTGAATGCGCAAATGCGAAAAATCTAAAAACACATTAAAAAAAACTTTTTTTTATTAAAATATAGTCAATTACGTTATAAGTGATCCTTAAAACATTTAAAAAGATAAAAATAAATATTTATTAATAATTAAAAAAATATTGAATTATGTTTGAAAATACCTCTAGTGTGAATCGACCTTTAAGTGTTGAATTCAAAACGTTTTTTCATTATTAAATAAAAGGGCTTTAAAAATATTTTCTCGAAAAACCCTCGAACACGTAAACTGAGATTTAAGGTGAAGTATTTTTATCCAAAATTTCATAAAGAATAATAAAGGCGTTTTAGAGTTAGATTTTTTTACAGTGGTACCAAAAATTATGGCCAATACTGTATATAAATCGACACTGTATGGAAAATACATAGCTAAATTTTGTAAAATGATTTTTTTACCTATTTAATGTATAGAACCGCCTTAAAAAGGATTTTCAGTATAAAAACCACAAAATCAAGATTTGGGTAGACCACTAAAAATATTAGATTACTTAAGCTTTTATATATGTATATATATTTTTTTATTTTGGTGGATACCTTGTTTAAGATTTTTCTGCTTTGCCCTGTATTTTTTAAATCTGGATTAATTACGAAAGAACCGTTACGAACGCTAGACGGTCTTAAATAATATAATCATCATCATGTATACGACCTATGAAGTTGACGATCGCATCTTGTAAATACTTATATGGTAGTCTAAATTTAGTTTTTTCCATTTAGCAATTGAAGGCATTAGATGTTCTACATAGGCTAGATGGCGAAATAACGTATCCTCCCATTCTATAGTCTATAAGCTAACAGTAATGCTATTATTAACTTTCGAATCAACCGGTTTTTTTCGTATTTTTTATGTTTTTATTATAGGAGAGAATTCGTTTAATTAAATCATTTGGATTATTTTTCTAATAACATTTAGAATAACATTATTTTCAAAGTATGTGAATTTAAAAAAATCTTGTATGTTGATTTAGATTCGCTCCTGTAACCTGAATCTAACTACAAACCTTTCGAAATTAGGTAAACGTTCAAAATTTAATAGTGCCTATAAATGCATTATTTGACCACCTGTGGTTTTAAATACCACACCATCGGATGGTTTAAAAAAAATTTCTTCAATTTTTTTATTTTTTTAGTACTCCTTAAAAGAGCTTTCTCAAAAGATATCAAATTTTAAAAAAAAAACTGCTTTTTTTGTTTTTCGCTCATTACTTCTTAAAAAAATGGCCCAAATCAAAATGCTCATTCTATATAAAATTTTCGTTTTTAAATGTACTTTTTGTAAGTAATATCATAAGGGCATCTAATTTTTCCGAAAATAATCGAAAAAACACGTTGCTAAGTAAAATTTTAACAAGATGCATGAGTGCTGGTGCACTGAAAGAAATATATACTAAAGTTAAATAAAAAAATAATTAGGGCAAATATATTTTATGTTTCATATATAGACTACCACATACATTGCTAAAACAAATATATTCGTTTGGTTAGCAGCCTATTGCTGCCCTAGCAATATAAATGGTGTTTCTAGCAATATTTTTTTGCTGTAATTCACTTATAGTTTACATTTTATAGTAAGGGTAAGTTTATTTTTATTTAGATCTAACATATCTTCTTTACAATAAATGTATTACAAAATTTACCATACATTCATAATAAACAGTAGTATAAATGTGTAAAGCATTAGTATAAAATTTTTAGTATAAATTTGTATTTACTTTTAGCAACAAATTTCTTTCAGTGTGGCAACAAAAATCCGAGTCTAAGACGAGGATTTTTGCACCTGCACGAATGCATTTTGTTAAAAAATATTACTTAGCATTGTGTTTTTTCCATTTTTTTTTCACAGGAAAAATTAGATGCCCGAATGGTATTTGACAAGACTATTTCATGAGTAAAAGTTATTCTGCATACATGTATGGTAGGTGCACCTAGCTTACAAAACATACTACCTATTACACATGCATACATAATAAATATGTAGGTATTAATTTGAAAACTGAAAAATAGGTAATTTATTTAATCACAAAATTCTACAAACTTAATTATTTAAAACTGCTGACAGGTGCTGTCATACAGTTTTTCCACCTAGAAACCATTTGTAATTCAAAATTGCGCGTTTGTGATTGGTGGAAATTAAGACGAGGGAAATAGTCGAAAAAAATATATTGAAAATATTTTAAGCGTTTTAAGTCAAGATTTTTGAGTTTTAAAGTTTAAATCGTGTTGTTAAAAATGTGTGTCTTCTTCGATTTTCGCGAAATTCAATTCAAAATTCAATTCAAAATTAAAAACAAAAAAATTTCTTTAAAAATTATTAGAAGTTTTGAAAAAAAAATAGTAATTATGGAAGGCCCACTACCGGACCAGGCTGAATAGTTGTTGAATAGATAGAAGTTAAAAATAAAAATTTTTCGCGAAAATCGAAGAAGACACACGTTTTTAAAAACACGATTTAAACTTTAAAACTAAAATCTTGACTTAAAACGCTTCAAATATGTTCAATATATTTTTTTCGAAAAGTACATTTAAAATCGAAAGTTTTATATGGAATGAACATTTTGATTTGGACCATTTTTTAATAAGTTATGAGCGAAAAAAAAATCATCCGATTTTGCGTGGAATGCCCCATATATAACATTTTATTTTAGTGTTATTAAAATATAATTGTTATCAAAGGCGTACTTTTGATTTAATTAAAATCTAGAACTTAATAATAGACTAAAGGTTGTTAAAAAAACAAGCAAACAAAGGTTAAAAAAAATAATTACACTTAAAAACCCTAATTAAAACTAATAACGTTATAAATACGTTGTACAAAGTTTATATCGAGTAATTTTCCATCAAAAAGCGCGAATGAAGAAGCAAATCGCGCCAAAAAATCAACACAAACCTTATTTTAGCTCGAAGGACCAAAAAATTATCACAGCGACTTTCACGCACATTAATGTTGAAATTTAAGAATGATTAATGCAAATGGCGGTGGCGTGGTTTGGTGCTTCAAAAACGACAAATGGATACCACTCCAACTCTCATCTATAAGACTTCATGGAGTCCTAACGCAAGCCCATTGGACGGCAATCTCCGATTTCCTGAACAGAGTAGCCAATAAACAGCTAATATTACAAGACAATGGATTTGCAGAGCTCACCGAAAAGCATAAAGAGTTGCTCTTGCAGCAGAACGTTGATGTAGATTTAATAAGCAAAGATGTGATAAACAAAGTGACTGATAATATAAATAAATGTGCGGTGGAGAGGAAGGTTAGTTTAGGGCAGATTCCCGAGGATAAAGTCGTGGAGCAAGCTAGAAGGCCGTCCATGCCAGAGCTTAGGAGTGTAGATAAAAATAATTTATTTAGTAATTTATTAACTAGAGGACAGAAGACTGAACGTACTAGTGTCAATGATGAAATTGTGCTCAGATTGTTAAAAAAGTATTGCAAGTATAGCAAAGATAAGTTAGATGATGAGATTGTTAATGCAGTAGAGAAAATACCCGATGAGGTCCCTCCGAGGACGAGAAAGTTAAGCTATGTACCTTTTCAAGATTCACGAAGGTTTTCTTGTCCAAAGGAAGAGAAATTGTATGAAAACTGTAACGAATTCTCCTCTCTAGACACAATAGAAGATCGCAATGACCACGTTATAAGATGGTTAAAACAACAAAATGAAAACATATTCATATCTTCCCCACCACCAATACGAAGACACTCCACCACCGAGATATCTTCACCTACAGATAGCAGAAAATCAAGTAGAAAATCCTCATCCTCTGGCTTCGCCAGTAGAAAATCCAGCATATCAACTCCAGAATCTCGTAAATCCTCAATAACATCATCTCCAGAGTCCGGAAAATCCTCATGGCACAGCAGAAAAAGTTCACTGGGAAGCAACAGCAGCTGTTCTGAAGATTGCGAGGATGTTTCTCAACTTCAAGACGGTTCTCTGCAGTGGATGAAGCAGCTGAAAAAAAGTTTAAACTCGAAGAATACTGAAAGGAGGTTGCTGAAGCAACGAGAAGCCTGGTCAAGAAATAGAAGGAAGCTAAGTTCGGCTTCCGATACCAATAATGGGGAGGTGTTGTATCAACCGTAAGTTTTATAATTTTTGTAAAAATTTGGTATATTTTGTGTGGGGGGAGAGTGAAGGAAAAGAGTAGTACTTTTGAATAGTGTAACAAGTTTTGAGGGGGTAAATACCTTGTGGGTTGGGTTAAAATTTCTCGAAAACCTAATGTGATGGAGCAAATATTCTGGGCAAAATATACTTGTAGGTTGTTATGAATGAATTTTATTAAACCTAATAACATATTTCCATGATTCATGTGCATATTTAGATCCTACTAATGTGTTGATAATCTTTTATTACATGAATATAAATGAAAAAATTAAAATATTAAAATAAGTGGACGTACAAATAATTGCATAGATACATATATGTATATATATAAATGCCAATTAAATAACATCCTTTAAAGTTTTAATTGAAATCAACTTTTATAAACAAATATTAATTTGTTAATGCATAATTATAATTATAGTTAAATGTGTATTTTTTCTATTTGCTTGTCATTGTTCGTTTTTAATAAGCTACATTTATGTTAGAAATTAAAAAAAATAAAATGCAAAATGGAATAGCCTTATATTTGTATTAGCGCGACTGGTATATTTTTAGGCCTGTAATTAATTAATTGCAAATCTTGTATTCCAATTTGTTACTCAAGAAGCAGAATAACTCTTCCTAAAAAAAAGTTGTTTTTTTTATTTCATACTCACAATCAGTGGAGACAGTGACTGCATTTTTGATCTCTCTGTATACGTCTTCTCCATTAAGCAACAGGTCTTTGTACGACCGGCAATCTGTATTTCAATCAATCAATTACCAGTAGGATCAAGTGATTGTCGAAACGAGGATATCATCGGTATCTAGATATCTCTCGCATTGAACAGTTCGTAATAGTTTCAGTTTTTCTGCTTTGCACTTCTTTTTCTTCCATTCTATCGGAGTGCGGAAACATTGTCGTTGTCTTGGTCGCACAGTCGCACAGTAAAATAATTTGAAATGCAGGAAGATCCAAAATAAGACAGAAAATTTTGTCCTGGAGCAAGGAGTAAAAGGATTGAAACTGCAAACTAATACTTTTTTGGAAAAATACCAATGCAAATGGTATTATTTATTATTCAGGATGTCTATTTAAAAACGAGAAATTCTGTATAAGTCTAAAAAATATAAGAACCATTTTCTCAAGACCGTGTCTAGGATATGTGGAGGGATCACCTGATGTTCTTACATCTCGCCTCTGTTGGCTTACCAACCGAGCATATAAGCTCAGGAGTCCTTTGTTTTGAGTGGGTTCCACTACACCAAGTTGCCCGACACTGATGAGACCCAATATAGGTCGAAACAGCTGTCTGTCGGTATTTGAAGTTGGTGGAACGCACTCAAAACAAAAAACTTTGGCGAGGTGTAGGTTCAATTTTTTCTTATGAATATTACCAGTAATGGGTCAAGAAAGTTTCTTAAAAAAACTAAAAAAATTGAATGTTTACCTCAATGAAAAGCTCTTGAAAATTGCTATTTAACATTACTAAACAAAATACTTTTAAATATTTAATTTTTGAAAATACGCAAAATAATTTTTATAATTAGTTATTCCAATTTCTCTTTATAAATATCACATTAAACCATTAATATCAAATTAAACCATTAATAAAAAATTAAACCATTTTGTGGTCGTAAAAACAATAGTAAAACAAACTGGAGAACACAAAATAATTCTAACAAAAGTATAATAAACTAAAAAAGCATAATTAACAAATTTTTCAACAATAATCAAAACACTTTTTAAATTAAATGCAGAAAATAACTCCCATGAGTATTTTTAAATAGTCTTTTATTATATTAAAATTTTTGTTGCCAAATATATTTGCATTATTAAACAAATTAAATACTCAATTGAATGTATGTTTTTGGTGAATTTTTCGTATCAGATTTATAAAAACTTACACATGCTTATTGGTTTTAATATTTTAAATAGTATGGTTTATTTACACAATGGCTGAACGTGTTATTATTTTTATTTATGGTGCACAAAATCGTTGTGCTCTACGAACTGCATTTGCATTGAATGAACTACTCCCTGGCAAAAATGTGTTGGTTGCAAAATTTAAACAAACGGGATCTGTTTGCAATCGAAAAAGAAACTTAACTAGGATCGCCGACGGTGGTCTAGTGGTTAGTGCTGCTGACTACAAGCCGGAGGTCGTGGGTTCGAATCCCACCAGGGATATGGCTGTTTATTTGTGTTGTCCTATTGTGTAATAGTCCTTCGGAGGGGACTTTAAGCCCGCGGTCCGTTCCTACCCCTAACCCGCACAAGCCATTCAGTTGGCTTATGGGACTTCTTAAGAAGTAAGGGTGGAACTAAAAGAGCACTTTTGTATATAAACTTTTTTGTATATAAACTTTGTATATAAACTCGATAAAGCCACCCATATTGAGGTTCTGGTCAGTTTGGTGTATCCCTCCGTTTGGCATCTAGAATAACAGGGCTTTGCCCTGAGTCTGTTAGGAAGGTGTTAAAACATTCCACCCATTCAAAATGCATATTACACAATAACTTGGCGATGATGATGCAAACAGGCGTTTAGCATTTTGTGAAATCATGACCAATAAAATAACAAATCGGATTCAAATACTAAAAAACATTTGCTTCAGCGATGAGTGTACTTTTTATCTAAATGAAAATGAATTATTTTGTGTTCTCCAGTTTTTTTTAATGTTTTTACGACAAATAAATAGTTTCATTTGATATTTAATGGTTTAATTTTATATTTACCTATAACGAGAAATTTGAATAAATAATTACAAAAATTATTTTGTTTGGTATAGTTTTTGATACCTTTTTTAGGTCCAGATTTATATACTGAGTTCACCAAGTATTTCTATGTGTATAGTATAGTAATATACTGCTCTCTAAAAATGAATTAGTCCAAAATTACTAGTTACTACAGTTATTAGTGGCTGCTTTTTCACTTATAACATGGTTAACCATGGAATACCATGGTATCCCCAACATTTAATCGCCAATTCTTATGTAAAATTTTCCCCTGAATCCGAAAATACCGTCAAAAATTATAAAAGTAAAGCAGATTTCGAGATATAGTCAATTCCATATTATATGGAAAATTGACTATATCTCAAAAACTGTTCTACTTTTATAACTTTTGACGACATTTTCGCATTCAGTGGACAATTTTACATGGACATTGAGTGCTAAATGTTCGGGATACAAATTGCTATTGACGAGAATTATTAGTGGCTGCTTTTTCGCTAAGACAATTCATTTTTGACTAATTCATTTTTAGGCAGTGTATACAGATCGTGCAAAAGGAAATTGTTTAAAAATTAACCTAAAAATTTCCATTTTATGGAAACCAACTTTTTCTTATTTATAGGTAATGTTTTAAACAATTGCCTTTTGCACCATCTAAATATATACCGATTTGTTTTTTTGGTCTCTAAATTTTTGTTGAACATAATATGGGTATTGTTTTATTTGAAGAACTACAAAGTCATTTAGGTGTATACACGAGTTATAATAATAATTATTTTTTTAAAAAATTAAATTTTAAAAATTAAAAAAAGCGGGAATTTAAAAAAAAGTAAGTTTTACATGCTTTATCTACATTTTCATCCAATTTCTTCGCTAATATATTTTTAGTTACCATCATTATATTTTGTTTTTATAATTCCTTAATTTTTTATCTATCTAACCATGTTAAATTCCAATATGGGGGCCATGGAAAAACTAAACATGGTGGTGGTAACTCAAAATCTAGTGGGCGAAAAAATCACAAGTTAAATGAAAAATTCCTAGGAATAACGAAAAAAATCGCAAGTTAAATAAAAAATTCGTAGGAATAACGAAGTCATAACAATGTTTTGGTTTTGGCAGGTTGTCAGTTTTTTTTTTAATTGATTGAGAACCTGAGATATTTTCCAATTTTTAAATGCCATTTTAATAGACTTTTAATTAACTTTTTTATGTTAACCGACCTTGAATCTCTTCAAATAAAAAGATACCCATACATTCTTTTAAAACGGTTCTAAATTAAGTTGTTCATTAACATTATTCTAGTCTTCATTTTGCAAGTGTGATCCTTTTTTATTGATCCATTTTATTATTTGTAACTTGTAACTTTAGGTTGAATAAACATTTATTTTAAATTATTTTCCTCTGGATGACGGTTTTGTTCTTATTGTGTTAGCTAGAGATGTGCCTTGAAATAAAACGATCCGTTTTTTTCAGATTTTTTTACTGTTTTTTTACTGTTTTTTTTTTCATATTATAGTTTTTTTTTTAAGATTAGTTCCATTTGCCTAATTTGTTATGTTTCCAGTCCACTTCATAGACTAAAATTTAGTAACATTTAGTAAATGTGAATACAGTCAAGCGCTATAGTGGCCATAATTTTTGCAACCACTTTAAAAAAAATCTAACTCTAAAACGCCTTTATTATTCTTTATGAAATTTTGGATAAAAATACTTCAACTTATTACGTGTTAGAGGGTTTTTCGAGAAAATATTTTTAAAGCCCTTTTATTTAATAATGAAAAAACGTTCGAAAATAACTTTTAGGGTAATTTTTTTTAAGTAAATAAAAAATATGCTGTTAAAGACTGTATTTTTGTTAGTATACCCTGCAAATTTTATACAAATCAAATAAACAGCAACGGAGATACAGCGATTCAAAGTCGTCAAAAATGACCACTTTTCAGCAAAATAATCAAAAAGGGGCCATTTTTACCGACTTTAAAGCGCTGTATCTTCGTTACTGTTCGTTTAATTTGTACAAAATGTTCAGGGTATACTAACAAAAATACGGTCTTTAACAGCATATTTTTTGTTTACTTAAAAAATTACCCTAAAAGTTATTTTTCGAACGTTTTTTCGTAAGTAATATCATAAGGGCATTTAATTTTTCCGAAAAGAATCGTTGCTAAGTGATATTTTAACAAAAAGCATGAGTGCTGGTGGCAACAAAAATCCGAGTCGAAGAGGAGGATTTTTGCACCTGCACGAATGCTT